ACTCAGGCATTGAAGATTCTATTAATAATGGATTCATTTCCTGGTTATAGCCAGTGTGGTTTTCCTTGTCAGCTCRGTGACAGATTAAATCTCACTCACGTTCCAGAATTCTGGGTTGTATGGTTTATTCCTTCCTCAATTCATTTATTTAACACTGGTGTTTTAAAATTGACCTCAGCCGTATTGAACACTAAATTTCTTACAAGTTTATTTGTTAGAGAGTGTAGAAAAGTACTTTTACTTTCTCAATTTTCGTGCACAAATTTTATGACTTTTACTTCAGTAGTTTTCTCATCAGTGACATTTATTTTTACCAGTCATATTCTATTACAACGGATTAGCTAGCTTCACTTCCGGAAAGTGTTCTTCTTCGTTGGTTTAACACACTTTTGTCACGGCTGGGTGAATCTGCGCCCTCTGCTGGTGGAAAATAAATAACACCCGCTTTTAACTAGTTATGTTTTTCAAACCAGGTGTGCTGAGATGTGGGCAGCTCTAGTGCCTGGTAGGGCTGTGTATTGGCAAGAATTTGGCGATACGATACATATCATAACAGAGGGGTCACGATACGATATATATTGTACGATATATTGCGATTCTGTAAGCAAGGCGATATATTGTGATATATTTTGATTTTTTTGTCCAAAAATTTTTTTAAATAAAAACCTCTTACTGAAAGAAGAAGAAGAAGAAGAAAAGCTAATGTTCACTCACAATGCTAATGCTACCCTTACTCTCTGGCGCTCAAGAGGTAGAGGAGCCAAATGGCTGGCTCACTGCTGCCAACTAGTGGTCAGAGGCTGAACTACAACATAAAAATGAACGGCTGGCAGGAAAGTTGACATTTTAAACCTTAATTAAAAATCGACACAGGGCTTTAGAATATCGATACAGTATCGGGAAATGAAATATCGCGATATTTCAATGTATCAATATTTTCTTACACCCCTAGTGCCTCGGTTGAAAAACTTTGTCAAAATATGTTCAGTCTGTGGCYCCTTTAAAGGAAATATCCTAAATATAATCACTAAAGAACGTAACGTTCTGAAGCACTTTTATGAGCTGTAGCAACAACTAACGATGATTTTGAGCAGGAAAAAAACTTTTATTTTCTCTACTTTCCCTGCAGGTAACTGAAGCTGCTGTAAATACCAGCTGGGAAATCCTGAAATCKAAACATGGTTYGAGGTTTCCTCTTTCAAAAACGTCATGTTTATATTTGAGAAATAAACGTGAACCTACAGCAGGTCTGTTAGTTCTCCAGATATTACCTTAAAGTTAATTTAGTAGTTTTATGATATTTATAACACTGATATATTGAGGTTTTGATCATTTTGATCTATTTTCACTTCTGTTTAGTGTTGTCACAGTAAGGGAGGCTAGACCGTCCAAATTCTGACACTTTTTCTGGTCTTCACGGTCGACCAAGGACCCCCTAGACCAGGTAGGCCGGGTCCTTGAAGGACTCAGAACTGACTTTGGACACACTAAATATATAATCTCTCTTCTTATCTTTTGTTTGCCTGCATCATGCAGGTCCTCAGAAGCTTTCTGCAGCCAGAAGGCCTCTGAGGACACCCGGGTCACACAGTCACTGCTGAGACGGTGAAAAGGTGCAGGTTACTGCGTCGGCACAAAACCAGCACAGTGTTAGTGTGGGAGCGTAAAAAATTTAATAAAAACACCTGTTTTATCCACAGCTTCATGAGAAATTAAAAYTAAAAGCTGACTTTAAATAACTCARGAGAGTGWAGATTRTTTTATCACCGAGTCGCTTCAGAGGAAGTTYAACTTTAAACTGTTTATTAAGTCAAATTTATCTGAGTTTGTTTCTGTGTTTAGATTTATTATTGAGTCAAATCTTTTAATAAGCTAAATAAATAAATAGTTTATATTATAAAATTAAATTAAAGGGATACTTTGGTCATTTTGAAACTGTGATCAGTGGAAATGTTAGGAACAATAAATATCTTACCTGCTGTACATAACTTTGAGTTTGGAGAACAGGAAGGCACAGTTTTATAAAAAAAAAATTTATGTTTCTGCCAAAATAATTACAAATTGTGCTGTAAGGGATGAATAATTTGGATCAAACGTGCGGTAGTTGTGATATTGAAGCTACATAATAAGCTAAAGTTTCAATATTTCATCCACCAGGCTGCAAACATTACTCCTCATCTGATTAACAAATTTAAATTGTTTTCATGCAGTTTGAACCGGACTACCTGGACACTAGTTTGGTTTCTCCAAACTGAGGCCGCTCAAAGATCCATCTACACCAGGTAAGATATTTACCACCAACACTGCTTTAAATGTCTAAAATATCCCTTTATGGTTGGTCATTTCACAAAGAAAAGCATCTATGAGGTCTACAAGTTGGACACGTCACACAGTCAAACGGAGCGCAGAAAACCAAGCCACTTCCACTGCGATCAAACCCCGAGCGGACCCGTCACCAGCGCTCACACGTCCCCTCTCCGAGTCCACACGGCTTACTTACGAGGAGGGCATTCATCCCTGAGGCTACGCCGTACACCAGGCCGGCCAGCCGGGCTGCATATGTATACTCTTTTAAATCATCCTTCAGTAATCTGAGCAACAAGTAGGTCATGTTGCAGTGCAGCGGGTCTGCGTAAAGGTAGCGACTGAAGGAAGGAAGGAGGAACAAAACAAAAACACAACAAAATAAAATAAAATAAAAAACAAGTTTGTTTGTGGCCGAAAAAAATCAAAAGTAAGCAACAAAAACATGCCAGAAGAAGGATTAGAAGAGTATGAATATGCAGCCACGTCACCAGCTTTCTGTCCGCAACTATTTGTGGTGAGAAACACTGTTGAAGACGGCTTCACCTGCTGATTGTTACACAAACGGTCTTCAYAAAATCAAATCAAATGATTAACCTGAGGACTGTGCAGGAGGCAGATGAGTGATGAAGAAAGAACGTTTGTGGTTAAAGCAGTCTTTTCCAGTCAAACCTGGGTTAAAACATGTTGGGTTATTTATCAGCTCTGCAGGTTAAGCCAGCATCTCACTGCTCTGCATTAACGACGGCTTTGATTTTAACAGTCACCTGATGAAAGTCGCAGTGACGTGCACTGAATGGATTTTGAGCCTGTTAAGAAAATATTTACGAAGCAAATGTTCCCTAACCTCTTAAGCCCCAAGGTTTGGTTTTTTTTTTTAGGTTTTTGCTCTAAATACCATGTTGAAATATAACTGAGTATCTCAGCATTTACAAACTCTACTTAAATAATCTTGATTTCAAAATAAAGCTAACACTTGGGAGATTTTTTTTTAAAGTGTAACTATTAGTGTTCCATCCTCAATATGTCTAAAACAACTGCTGTTGTTTTAGCTCCTGTTGTTTTAGACATATTGAGGATGGAACATAATTTTTTTCCCCTCCCGTCTGAATTATTTTTTCATTAGACAGTATATAAACCATTTAAAACCATAATGAATCAGGCTAAAAACTCTTGGAA